AAATGGATTGTACTCACAAAACGAACAAGTAAGTGGATACTATCCACGTATTATTCAGGTACTTTCAGGTATTAACCAGAATTTACATTATCTTCGTCATTCAGATACAACTATCAGCTCTTATTGATGGTGGCGATGGATCAGTATGGCTGCGGCCAGCCCGTTCAATACTCGTTACTGGAGACAAATGCGGACTGGCACATGGCGAAGTGTTTGGATCATTTCAAGCGAGCTAACGACAGCTGGCGCTTGGTGCGGATTGTTATCGTGGACAAGGATATGCGAGAGGTGGAGGTCATCCGACAGAAGCTTCCAGAAGCCCGTGTTCTACTATGTCACTTTCACGTTATCAAGTGGCTGCATGAAACAATTCGGAAATCCAGCAAGTACGGGCCTTACGAGGCTGCTGTATTAAATCAACTCCGACACACTATTACCAATATGACCTATGCGCGGTCCGATGAAGTGTACGAAGAACACCGAGCTGAGTTCAAAAGTTTGTCGATGAGAGGTGGCAGGCAAGAATTGTGGGACTATTTTGAGAAGAACTGGGATAATTGCAAAGACACGTGGGTTATGGCGTACCGGATGGAGTTGCCTCACTTCAACAATCACACGAATAACCGCGTGGAAAGCCTGTTCAGCAAAGTGAAGCAGCATCTGAAGGGCCATATCACTATGAACGCCAGTTTGGAGGCTCTCTTGTATCAGCGGCGCAAGAAGGAGGAGTACTACGCCAAGGTGGAAATGCCTGGAACATTGCGGGACTTTACGTACTCTGAGGAAATGAATATCGTGCTCGGGATGACGACGAAATGGGTGGCAGCCGCAATCAGGTCCCAGTACGTTGCGGTAGACCCTGTGATTGTAAGCTCGTACACAGTAGTGGACAATGGACCGACCGTCACCCTCCGAAACGAAGACCACGAGTGTTTACTGCAGAAGGAGACGTTCAAGTGTGACTGCGAGTTCTCACAGACCATGCAGCTACCTTGCCGACACGCGATGATCTGGAGAAAGTCGAGAGGAGGTCCATTTGTGGTTCCTTTTGGCGCTATCGGATCCAGGTATGTTCCAGTAGTGTCCATGTTTTTACCAGGTATCACTTGGGTATTGGCCAGTTATTGACCAATTTTGGGTTGTGGATTTTGTAGGTGGTACGGACGGAGCCGCTTATCAACTCAGGGATTGTCGAAGGTGGCCAAACCGTTTGTTGCCAAGGTTTTCAAGGGAGATGATGCAGCTATCTCCCGGGATCGAACTGAAAAAGAGAAATTTCGTCGTGCTCAGCAAGCTTTCGGACGAATCAGTGGAGAGCTTGCTCGGTTAGGAGATGAAGCTTTTGACGCGGCAATGGACCAATTCGAGGGGTGGTGGCACAACCTTCGTCAAGGTCAAATCTCAATGACGCCTTGCCATGAGCAGACGGAAAATCGTGATAACGACGGCTCTAATGATGGTGGCAATGCTTGCGGTGGGGAAAATGCTGAGGATACAAGTAGTGTTGCTCAAGCTATTAGCGGTGGTGGTGGTTCGCCATCTTCGGGCGAGTCGGAGGATCTACCAATAACTCAGCAAACTGCGGTGTCGACTCGACTAGTGCGCAAACCAGACGTACCTGTCAAGATCAAACTCAATAGCAGAATTGTTCCAGTTGGACGGCCCAGACTCAACAGAAAGGAACAGCGAGCAAAGGCTAAGGCTGATCTGAAGGAGTACAATCAAGGCATGAAACCGCGTGGTTTACTCCGGGATCGCGACGTGTGTGAGGTGGTTAGTGCTTTGAAAGCGATTCAGCCGGGTATCCTCGAAATGGGAGCGTTTCTGGCGACTTTTCAAGTGCTAGGGAAGGCCACACCGAAACTGTCAACGGCTTGGCGGCATCGTACAGACATCGTCGCGGACAATGTGCGCTACCGACTCCCCGAAGAGACCGTCAACCGCGCATTTAAGTTGCTGAGCGAGTCGAGAACTGGAAAGAAGGATGAAATTCAGCTGGACAGTGATGGTGAAGGCGTAGGTGACGAAAACGGCTATGTATTGGTTGTGGAAAAGGTTGGCACGTATTCAAGAGAGCAAGTGGAGCAAATGAAGTGGATGTGGAATATGCAGGATACCTGTCGCCGAGGAGTGCTTCTTTGTACTTGGCTGAACAACGAAGTGAAGACTCTTGTGGATGAAAAGGTGGCCGTGAGCGTGGCATTTGACAACTTTTTGAAAACCTGGCCATACCTGGTCATACCTGGATTTGGATTTGACATCACCTACGCGGACTCTGAAGTATCCGAGGTTCAACTTGGCTCAACAACGCCACTAGGCGTGTCTTCTGTGTATTTTTGAAGACGTACAAGAACAATGCCACCGTTATGATACCTCCGGTCAAGAAGCAGACGGTGAAAAAACCGACCAAGAAGGAACCAGTCCTCGCAGAGCAGCAACTGCTGCAAATTCGCAATTGCTTGGATTCATGACAGTTCGTCTTGATGCCTATCAACTTGAGTGGCGTTCACTGGGTGTGTTTGGTGGTGGATGGAATCGCTAAAAAGATCCAGGTTTACGACAGTGCTGGTTCCGCCATGTACCTCAAGCGCTTGAAGAATATTGCGTCTGAGATCGCATCTACATTGCCAGACATGTATGAGGAGATCGTCTTCGACGGACCTCTGCAGAAGGATGGCGACAGCTGTGGTGTCTTTGCGTGCCTCCAGCTATGGAAGTCCGTGTCGAGCAAGGCACCGACGGACGTGTCCGAGTCTGGCGTTATCAAGCTGCAAAATTTTGCAGGCTATTCTAAAGGTGAAGCGTCGCTCGTAGTTGAAAAGGTAGATGCAACGGTAAATGTTGGAGTGTAACCAATAATACCTCGTATTTACCTGAAAGATACATGTTTTCTTGCTAGCCAAATTTGCCAAACTTATGATGTAGGATTGCCGACGAAGGATGTCCTTCACCACTTTGACTTTTGTCCAAGTTGCGCACACATGACTTTTCCAGGTATTTCGACAACAAATACCTGCGTAATATTTGGGCGGTAATGTATTCCGTCAAACGAAATCGAATTGGAAATCACTGGATTAATACATATGATATACCTGGATCTGAGTAAACCTACACCTATTTCCATGTCTGGGAAACCTGGACTCTAAGAGCATCTCCACCGGCTGTGAGTAAAAATAAACTTAAAGTACGCACAAAACAATCCGGTAGGATAAAATTTTCGACGTAGACAGGGCTTCGCTGCACTGGTAGCTGCCTCAAAATGAGCAAACGTAAATTTGACCCCCCTCTCCCCATCTGAACATGGAGATCAACAGTTCTGCGCTCAAGCTTTTTCACCTCTTCGACGACGAGGAAAGCGACGTGCTTGCTGTTTTAGCGGCATATGCCACCGTTGTCCAACCGCCGCCAGCTGCGCGCGGATCATCAACAGGACGAAGCGCAAACGTAGGCCGAGAAGCCGTAGAGGGTCATCGCCGTCTCGTTCAAGATTACTTTGCTGCGACGTCAGAGAGGCGTTGGAGTTGCTGCTGTTCTCGTTTCCTACAGAATGAGCACTGGCTGTCGGGATTGGAGGCGATGCAGTAGTGGCTACGGCGTCTTGAGCGAGTTGTAGGGATGGAGTCAATGGCGTGAGGGGTGTTGGCGGGGCGGCTAACGTTCTCTGGGCCAGCTCCAGCGACGGAGTTTGGCTTGGAGACATCATGCTGCGCGCGAGTTCTTCGTTGGATGGCGATTTGCGCATAGCTCTACGCAAAGCTCCCTCGTGAGCAAACTTGCTCAAAAATCCCGCGTGAGTAAAATCAAACGTAATTTGCTCAAAAATTTACTAAACCGGTGGAGTGGACCAAACTAAATATTTGAGTAAATTTGGCTAGAAAAGAGCCAAAATTTAGTTTTACTCACAGAGATGCTCTAACGCCTGCCTATAAGTAATGTAAAAATAAATAAATGAAGGACCTCTATAGAAGCACCGTCAATTAATATACCGATTGTTACAATTATATTATAGACCAATGAAACTCAGCATTCATAGGAACAAAGTTCGAGTTCCCCAGTACGAACACCAACTGGAACAGCACGATTGAATCGTGTGCAAACAATTGTGTCGCGCTGATTATTGGACAGCTCTGGCTCGATATATCGAGCACCCCGGTGGATTCGAACAAGTTTTGCTCTCCACAGCTTCACGCTTGGGCTATTAGAATGCTCTGACTACCTTATTGCAACTTTCGCTCCGTGCTGCCAGTTTATCCTCCTTGCTTATTGTTGCTGAACCTGGAGCAGGGAATCGATGACAGAAACAACCACAAAGCCAGCCGAGCGACCAACATGGTGCCGGGAACAAGTGTAATGGGCGCCTAAAGGCTTCATAACTGTTTTTGGTCTGCTGGATTTAAGGTTTGCTGGTGGTTTGATCAAACCATGACGCACCCGCACAATTCGTTGCTGGACACGATGACTACAAGTTGTAGTCCGTGTAATTGTGTTCAGGTGGTACCCGCTATCGACGACAGCCTATCGTTAAGCTGCGAAACCTCGCACATACCGATTTTGCAGACCACCTGTCCATGAACGAAAGGGGGCTCTGGAGAAAACAATCGGAAATGCGTTGTAACTAGATGGTTTCGAAGTGAGCACGCATTAACGAATGTACAACTAGGAGTCGCAAATGGAGTACCTTTTAAAGTATTATCAGCGGAAGCGATGATTAATAGTGAATAACGGCGCGAATGCTGGAGCTAGGACCCTGGGTTAATTTCGGCTTTCTATCAGTGTTAACGTGCTCCTTATGACAATGCCCTCTTATTGGGAACTTCGAACTCCATATACATGTATGCTACAGACGCCGTCGCCAGTCAGCCAAAACAAACCCGAATCGAACGGATCTCATCGGCTGGAAAAATGGAAACCCAGGATCATATCCGAACAGGACCGATGAGGACGAACGAGTCGGCTGATACGTTGCAGTTCTGCTGGTATCGAAACATGTTCACCGACAACGGTAAGCTTGCCCGGCACATTTACCAGTTGCCGGGCTCTACGTGGATAGTCTGCTTTACTTTTGTTGTGCATTCGGTGGACTGCCCTGGACCACCAGCAAACAAATCCGGTGATTACACTTACGCTCGCTGCACCACCGCAAACGCCAACAACCTCAAGAACAACTCCCGGTTTTCAATCCTCAGTAAAGGCTGCCACTATGAGCCAGGTTCGCCTCACAATACCACAGTCACTTGCTCATTTGCTTAGGCATTGACACATCCGCCCCTAGCAAGGACTATGTTGCGTGTCGCTTTCCTCGTTGTTATCACTGTGGCTGCCGCTTGCGGCGTTTCCCCAGTCCAAGCGGGCGGGGCACTGCAGAGCGAGGGATATCGTCACTCCATCGAACAGCTACAAGTTGGTGAATACTACAAGCCTTCTGTTGTTGAAGGATCTGGTGTTCCAAACACCACAGCATTATTCCACCGTTCCCCATGTCCGGCACTTAACGCGCTGGCCAACCACGGCTATCTACCTCGCAACGGGCAGGACATTGCTAAGGGCGTATTGAAGGCTGCGATCATGAGCGTGTTCAACATGGCCAATGACACGGCTACCACGCAAGTTGGTCAAGTTCCCGACGTCTTTTCACTCGACTTTTTGAGTAAGCACAACGCCCCCGAACATGACGCGTCCCTCGTGCATACGGACGCGTATTTCGGCCACGACCCGATGGAGGTGAACATGACACTGGCCGACGACGTGTTCAGTCGTGCTGACAGCAATGACAGGATCAATACTACTGCGATCGCCCGGGTTCGGAAGGATCGTGCCTCATTGTGTGAGACCTCTAACCCGGAGTGCACCTTTGGGGAAGGCGAGAAAAAGAAGTCATTCTTGCAGGCGGCCTTGCTTCTCAAGGCGTTGGGTGAAGGTGATTTCATTTCTGTCGAACACGCGAAATCGTTCCTTGTCGACGAAAAAATCCCTGCTGACTTCGTGAAATCCAAAGAACCCGTCTCACTGGCAGTACTCAGTGCGAAGTCGGCTGAGCTCGTTGCATTGGCGTCGTAAACGAGGTTTGACAAACGATTGTTCGCGAATCAGTAAAACAACATTGCATTGAATGCGCTTTATCGTTTTTAAAGCAATAAAAGTTGAACAGTGACTTTCGAGCAATCCTCTAGCCAGTTTAAAATTGTCTCGAAAATGCAACGTCGTCTCTTCAGCGTTGTGCAGATAGCGAATGAACAAAGAATTCGTTCGCCTAGACGTGGGCGTGTAAACGATTGCAAAGAGGAGTGTATTGTGCTACTTTGACACCTTAGTTCCTTCTAGAAATTACGTTACTGCCATTGAAAAACTATTTCCATTATGAGACCCACATTGCTTGCAGTCGGTTTTATCGATTCAGACGTGTATAAGTGTACCAAATCGGAATGATTTTATACTTTTTTCGCCAAAAAGTACACGCAAGTTTAAAAGTCCTTTCGGAAAATGATTGGTGGCGATCATCCCGATAACTCTACAGCAGCGACAGAAAATCGTTTCATAGATGCGATCCCATGGCGCTTAGACGCTTTACTCAGGTAGCGGAGCACCGAAGGACGCTGATTAATAAAAATTAATCAATTCGAGCACCACTGCAGTGCATCCTGTCAGTTGACGTGGATACTTGCCGTAATCACTACAATGCTACTGTTCCCGTTGAAGCTCTTTTTAAAAAAAGGCATAAGCACTTTTTGGCTCGTAAAAATCCCCAGTTTGCTGATAATTGTCCTGTTCCGATGTAAATAGTCATGAGTTCGACAACCAGTGCGTTTCACTGTGACGCATATTTTTTTAATGACATTGAACACTCAGCAATACTTTGCTTCGTAACCAGCTTCGGTTTGTGTCTGAATCTCGATCAGCTTATGCTGGTGATCTGACGCACTGTGAATGGGGACATGTTGTCCCATTTAGGTAAATGAAGTTGAACTGTATCTTACAGTGATGTGGCATCGGGGATACCCCTTTACTTAAATGAAAGGGTTAACGCAATCTGCAGCGTCTGGAGTCCAGACTGGACCACCAGCACAGCTAAGATGGTGTCTCTAAGACCGATTCGGTCACCGAAACAAGAACTGCAATACCTTGCAGTGCTGTAGACCAGTTTCACTCTGCTCATTTAACAATTCGCCCCGACTTGCAACAAAATACTTTTTCTTCAACTAGAAATGTTCCGCGCTACGTTCGTCGCTGCTATCGCTTTCCTTGCCTTGACCGACATAACGTCGGTGCAAGCACAAAACGAGGCTTGCGGTGATTCCTCCGTAGAGCTGCAAGTTGGCGAATACTACAAACCCTCTGTTACTGAGGGATCAGGAGTCCCTTATACGACGGCTACTTACCGCCGTTCACCATGTCCAGCACTCAATGCGCTTGCCAACCACGGCTATCTGCCTCGTAATGGTCAGGACATCACGAAAAGTGAGCTGAAAGCCGTGATCATGGATGTGCTCAACAGTGCGAATGATACGGCAACTGTACAGGTCAATCCAGTGCCGGAGATTTTCTCACTTGACTACCTGAGTCGCCACGTTCTACCGGAGCACGATGCTTCTCTGGTACGCACCGACGTTTACTTTGGTCACGATCCGATGGAGATTAACACCACACTTGCTGAAGACTTCCTGGCGCGTGGTGGTGCCAGTGGAAAGATCAACACGACTGCGGTGGCTCACGCTCGCGCGGACCGAGTGACGATGTGTGAGGCCATCAACCCCGAGTGCACGTTTGGTGCCAACGAGAAGCAGACGGCATTCCTGCAGGCGGCACTACTGCTTACGGTTCTTGGTCAAGGTGACTATATCTCTGTTGACCACGCAAGATCGTTCCTAGTCGACGAGAAGATCCCCAGTGACTTCGTGAAGGCGGCGGAACCAGTATCGGTAGCGACGCTCACGGCGAAGTATGTGGAGCTAGTGTCACAGGCCCCTTAAAATTCACGTAGTAACTTACTGAAGGCGAGGAAAACGATAAGATGACAAGTAAATCGGAAAATTTACCACATGACGTTAGTATCCATAGATAGAGATGGCCGTGAAAACTGCAAGACTACGTGATAGAGAACACGGGAGGTGTAGCGTTGCCGCGCTACAGTGCATCGGTAAGTATGCAGGATAATCGATGCTCATAATCGTTGACTGCGTGGGCTGTTGACGTCGATCGGGACCATAGCCACGGAGCAAAACCGATGAAGTACTGCCGTGTTGTTTGGATTTTAGAGTAGCCTAGCATAGTACTTGACACGTTTCGAGAGGTGTGCACTACGACGCTAAAACGAGAATGAGCTTATGACTTCAATGTGAATAGCTTATCACGTTGGCGTTGGGCTCTTCAACCGAAGGATACGTTCATACCGTTGTGGCGCGACCGATCGTCTTCAAAGTGGAAATTTTCCTGATACATTGCGGTGAGCACTTAATAGATGGGCGGACGTGAGGAATGGCATTGGGTGGGAGAGAAAGACCGGTCGATATGCGAAAAACCCGCCAGTTGAGGAGTTGCGAAATGGGAGAAATTGATAATCCTGTGTGCTATGACGACCTTGATCCCTTTCACCCGTGATGAGGAGATGGTCTTTTTCGGAGGGTAAGCATTGGACGTGGTTCTTTTAACGGCTCTTACCATAAAAAGGTCGAAATTGACTTGACGGCGCGCATTTGATTGAAAAACGGATTTTCCGATACAAAAGTCAAGTGAAACCCGACGAGGGCCACATGAGCTCCAACATGAGCTGAAGCACCACTTGAATCAAAAGTGCACATAGCGATACGAACGGCGGAGACGACCCTCCGACCCCGAAAGGATGCGATCAAGCAAAGCTGATCCTGAGCCTGGTCACATGTACGGCGACGACGGCACAAACTTGATTGAAGTCGCGGCGTCATCGGATACGAGGCCTGACGATGGTGTAGGCATGGGTAGACTTCTCTAGTGCAGAAGTGCAGCTCCGTGATATCAACGCATCGATGCATGGAATAATGAGACTGTGCCGTTATTTTGGGAGAAGGTGGCAGTTGTCGGAGCTGAAGATGACGGAATGGCGAAAGCGCTGGTTTCTGACTCGAACATACATTCAGCGTAAGCTTAGATCTATTAAAAACGGGTGCAACCTCAACTAAATCGCGATCCAAAGTTCGTATCCATAGCTGTGTTATACTCGACGTCGTCCACATCCAATAGGAAGTCGCTATCTTGAGTGTACTGCAGCGGCTCGTCGTGCTCGATCTCACTCGGGTGGAAGTTGTCGAGGAACTCGAGCAGTACGGCGTGTTCTCTGGCATCGAATGGTGGGGTGGTCATGGGCTCCATCATGGATGCGTCTTGGATCTGATCACTCGAATCTTGGGACGACTCGGCGCTCTCGATACTGCCCCTGTTCTCTTTGAGTTTGCGGCGCTCGATCTTCTGGCGATACTTCTGGGCGTGTGTCATGGTTTGTCGGGTGGTTCGTGTACCAACGTGATCGGCAATGACCTTCCAGGGCCCAGACGGATAAAGCTCTAGGCCCTCGAGGAATCGTTCGTGCTCGTCGGTTGTCCAGAGGAGAAGACTCCTCTCGCTGGGCGGGTCTTGACGACGAGATCGCCGTCTTCGCTTGGATCCATTCGTCTCGTCGGCGCGAATGGGAATCCGGATCAGTTGCTGTTGATCCTCGCTGTCTCCTTCGAACAGCCCGCTCTGAACGACTTCCGATATGGTCATAATAGACTTGTAGTGGTGTAGGTAGTACTGCTGCGTAGTGGTAAGGTGCGTTGCCGTGTGTGTTTATCACGGAGTAAAATGTGAAGTGAGACTCAAACAAGCATGTGGTCTCGTGCTCATAAGCTGCACCGCGTTGCATTTTGCCAGGCGGCTCCGACATAGTGCAGTGTGCGTACAGCTGTGTCCTTTCCAAGCTGGCAGCATCTGAAGATATAAGTCCCTGGCTATTATCCAGATTTATTTCTTAAAGCGAGTGGCACGCAGCTACCGCTGAATTGATCGGTAAACGTCGGACAAAGGAGAGGATACACCCTCTGAATCAACAAAGCGCTGACTCAAGGGATAATCACCCGGAACTACTTTCGTCGGAGTGGGATAAACCGGTTAGATGTCCGCTTTTAGTTGTGTGTTTTTAAATGAGATCCTACTAACCCAGTTCTTTTTCGGTCTCTTTGGACAAACCACACCAACTGCATCTGGGTCATTTACGATCGACTAAAAAAAGTGGATTTTGGAGCAGAAAAGTGCCCAGCTCATGTGGACCAAAAGTACGGATCACACATTGAAGTTGGTCATGCGAGTGTCGATTTTATTGCCGATGCTCTGTTGCTGGCGCTGTGCGCTCTTGTGTGGCTTTGATCTTGCTTCGTACGAGCTATGTAGGCCTCCCATCTTGCGCCCCCAGCCCAACGAAAAACGGAACCCAGCGGGTTAGGACACAAATCTTAATCACGGCCACTTAATCAAACCTGCTGTTTCATGTTGCGCTGCGTGTTTCCGCTCGGAGTTCTGTCTCGCTAGGAAAGCTGTGTGTGCGTGTGCTACCAGCCAGCTGTGTAGGCCCCCACCGTTCGTGCCGCGACCGAGAAGGGTGGCACCAAGTCTACAAGCACCAGTTTGTTAGAAGAGAGCCGTCGCAGGACGGAACGGTCGTGCGGGGCTCAGCTGAGGTGGTGTCACCTGCGAGTAGCAACCAGCAGGAGAAGAGATGCTAGTATGGAAAGGCTTGTCGTCTTGATCATTGCAAAGTTTGGGACTCAAATCGCTTGCACAGCGAACTCGGCAACCCAACATCGGTGTAGATGTATCCAACGATACTTTGTATAGTGATTAGCTTCAAGTTGCGCTCACCAGTTCGCCAATGCGACTGGTAGGTGTGAGTGGGGCGTACCGGGCATTAAATGCGTCGGTAAAAGTAGGTATGGAGTTAAAACTTGCGATGGACCTGTTTTCTACGTATATGTGTAGTTGTGGAGATTTGTATTGTAGGCCGAGGGTTGCGAATTACGTGAAAGTCATCGAAACTATAACCTGTGGCCACCCGTAAAGAGTTGTATTTTAATAATTAAATAGACTACCTTCTCTCTCTCACGCTTTAAAATAATGATAGAGAGAGAGAGATGATAGTCTATTTATCTTTCTAGCAAGTTGTTGTATTAATAGTAGCGGTACCAATATGGATAGTATGGTATCGCGTAAGCCATGAAGACTCTGGAATAGCTGAAGGATTGCCAGACACTTTGAAAAGATGTTCAGCTTGTAAACAACGATGACGAGATAAAGTGCCTAACCCGCTAGTTTCTCAAATCGGCTGTATTGGGTGTTGAGTACCCAAATGCAACTCATCATGATGCTATCACCACGGGTGCAGAGATTTTTTTTATAAAAATAAAAACTGCATGTAGCAGTCCAGCCTCAATTTTGAAAATCTCTAAATAAATAGTAACACGGTCGCTCCTAGTTTTCCTAAAACAACGTTGATACAAGTTGTAGTTCTCGGAAACAGGTCTGTACAAATAAGAGAACCACGGAGTCTGTAGATTGCGGATTGGTCCGTCACGGACCAATCGGCGATCTACATATGGATTCCGGTTGGAATGGGCAAACGTCTTATCGTTATGCACATCTGTGGTAAAAGCAACATGGCTCTGAACGGGCCAACGCATCGGTCCTCAGTTTAGAATTGTCCCAGTAGACCAACAATCAGCAGCCCAACATGGCAATTTCAGAAACTGTGCAGAGCGCCTTATTTGTAGGAGACGACCACGACCAGCAGTTGATTCGCCTCCCAATTCGAGCTGCCGAAGCTTCCCAGTCGAAACGAAGGCGGCGTTCTCGTCGCCGCGACCCGCCGACCGAGAGAAGTCGACTCCTATGGAAAGTCGACGAGCACGACCGATTCCTCGAGGCACTTGAGCTCTACCCGGCCGGACCCTGGAAAGCGATCGCAGACTACATCGGGACGCGAACGGCACGTCAGACCATGACACATGCTCAAAAATATCGACAGAAGATCGAGCGGCGGAAATTGAAAACACGCAAAAAGAGCATCGATCCTTCTAACGACACGTCTTCGGAAGAAGAGATCATCAGCTCACCAAGAGAAAAGCTGAGAGCTACAGCAACAATTAGTCTGCAGGACGAAGCCACAGAATTCTCGGTGCTGTTGGAGTTCGTGAACAGCTTTCAGCCAAGCGAGATCGAGCGGCCAACTCCTCTTCTGCACTTCGCGGATTGTGCTTTATGGTGATTTCTACTAAAATCTCACACCACAGGTGAACTGGGTTTACCGACGGTCGGTAAACCTCGTTGACTTTTAGGATAAATCACGAACGTAACTTGTAAACAGTGTTGTTTCCCCAAAGATATATAACTCCAGCATGTTGGTGTTATCCAGTTGTCTATAATGATTCGTTTATAATTGCAGACCACACCTCCGCGTACCGGTAGTTCTAACGGTCAATTCCTGATAACTCAAACGAATACTTTCGCTACAAGCACCTCTTCTCCTGCTGGTTGCTACTCGCAGGTGACACCACCTCAGCTGAGCCCCGCACGACCGTTCCGTCCTGCGACGGCTCTCTTCTAACAAACTGGTGCTTGTAGACTTGGTGCCGCCCTTCTCGGTCGCGGCACGAACGGTGGGGGCCTACACAGCTGGCTGGTAGCACACGCACACACAGCTTTCCTAGCGAGACAGAACTCCGAGCGGAAACACGCAGCGCAACATGAAACAGCAGGTTTGATTAAGTGGCCGTGATTAAGATTTGTGTCCTAACCCGCTGGGTTCCGTTTTTCGTTGGGCTGGGGGCGCAAGATGGGAGGCCTACATAGCTCGTACGAAGCAAGATCAAAGCCACACAAGAGCGCACAGCGCCAGCAACAGAGCATCGGCAATAAAATCGACACTCGCATGACCAACTTCAATGTGTGATCCGTACTTTTGGTCCACATGAGCTGGG